ACTTTCTAAAGAGGAGCTTAGGGTAGCATCATCCCAGATCCTAAAAGGAAGGTTCTCCGGGTCCATCCAGCGTGGGTCTTGGGGGCACATCTACCCCCAGGCAAGGCACCCTGTTGTGCTTGCAACACCCTGCCTGCAAACAGGGCAAAAAAGCTGTCTGCGGCTGGAGAGAGGCAGGAATTGCTCCCAAGGGGAAGCGCTCAGCCAGGAGGGCTCTTTGGCCTGGAAGAAACACTCTGCATGGAGCAGCAGCCTGTCCAGGCCAGCAGGACCTCAGTGGGGCTGGCCTGTTCGCTGCAGGGCTCAGCGAGCAGCTGGAGGGGGCTCAGAGGATGATGAAAGACCTAGAGAGACCCACCCACCAGCATTTTTCCGAGCCCTGTGCTTGTTCCCTGCTTCCAAGGCACCCCCAGCCCAGCACAGGCCAAGCCAGGAGAAGCGAGCTTGCAGGTGGCTGGCAGCTCACCCAGCAAGGTTTCATTTAATTTAGTTGTCATTAGGAGCTTGATCACCTTGTCATTGCTGTACAAATTGGTGGATGCCACCCAACAGCGCTGGGCTGATCCCATCCAGGCGGGTGCACGGTGCTGTGCATGCATCCCATCCCACTGTGCCCACAAGCAGCATGCCAGTGAGCAGTGACCAGAGCTGGTGGCAGAGGCATGAATCCCAGGGTCTGGGTGGCAGGGACAGCTTCACCTTGCCACAAGGATGCTCAGCTCTGCTGGGTGCAGCGATGGGTGCCAAGAGCCCCTCACCTCTGAGGACGCTAATCCAGCTGGGGTTTTGGTCCTGGGCTGAGGAGGGCTGGAGCTCGGTGGGGTTAGTGGGATGGTTCTCAGCCCACAGGCTGGAGGATGCACAGCCACGTCCTGCAGGAGGCACTGGCATAGAATCATAGAATAGTTTGGGTTAGAAAGGACCCTTAAAGGTCATCTAGTCCAACCTCCCCTGCAATGAGCAAGGGTATCTTTAACTAGATGAGGTTGCTCAGAGCCCCCTCCAACCTGATCTTGAATGTTTCCAGGGATGAGGCATCTACCACCTCTCTGGGCAACCTCTGCCAGTGTTTCAACACCCTCATGGTAAAACATGTCTTCCTTATCTCTAGTCTGAATCTGCCCTCTTAGTTTAAAGCCATTGCCCGTTGTCCTATCACTACAGGCCCTTTGTCCTCATCTTTCCTGTAGGCCCCCTTTAAGTACTGAAAAGCCACAATAAGGTCTCCCCAGAGCCTTCTCTTCACCAGGCTGAACAACCCCAACTCTCTCAACGTGTCTTCAGAGGAGAGGTGCTCCAGCCCTCTGATCGTCTTCACGGCCTCCCCTGCCGGGCTCCAACAGGTCCATGTCTTTCCTGTGCTGAGGGCTCCAGGGCTGGATGCAGTACTCCAGGTGGGATCTCACTAGGTGCTCACTTGAGCATCCTCCTCATCTTCTTTTCCTCATCCTCCCTTCTGCCCAGACCTCACAGGATTTCAGTTTTCACCGATCCTGTGAGTGAAGTGGACCAAAACCCTTCTCCTGCAGGATGGGCTGTGCCCAGCCCTGGACTGGGAGCAGGTACCCCCCTGGTATAGACTGTGCCGAGGACCTGCAAGCTGCCAAACAGGATTGCTGTAAGCCTGACCCCATTTTCTGGACACCTCTGACCCCAGGGCTGGCTCTCAGCCTCTTTGGCATGCTGGAAACTCAGGGCAACCATGCATGGACCCCCAGCAGGGTCACTGGGCTCATTTGCCCCCCATGCCAGGCTCCCTCCAGCCAGGGTCTGACCTCAGACTCCTTGGTGGGGACCTTGACTAGCTGCCCCAGTGCCAACAGGTCAGACCTGGTGGTGATACCCACAGCGTGGTGGGAAGGTGTCCCTTGGATGGTAGGGTTGGACTCACGCACCAGTTGTCCCAGTGCTTTGGCTAATAGGGGTTAAGGACGTAGGCACGTCTGAGCTTGGCACAAGCCCTGCAGTGAAACCACTGTCATCCCCTGTTTGCATCCCACTGGTACCGTGGGTGTCAACCCTCGAGCCAGTGGTGTGAGGAGAGGCAGGACCTGGCATCCCCCCATCCAGCCCCAAAATCTGCAGCCATGAGACAGACACACACCTTTCTCCGCACTGCTCCGCTGATGAGGTTTGGTAGCAGCTTCATGCCTCGCAGGCAGCAGGAGGCCATTTGTTCCCCAAGGGCTGGGGGGGGGCCCGCCCAGCCTGCCTCCAGATGTGCTCCAGGTGTGAGGCTCCTGCGGGCTCTGGCTGGGTGGAGTGAGCAGCTGGGAGTGCAGAACCCAAGGGTCCCGCTGTGCCGGGTGGCAGGCTGGATGCAGCTCTGGGAGCAGGAATAGGGAAGGAGAGGTTCTCACCTGGTGCAAGAAAGCAAAAGTGCCCCTCTCCCTGCTGGGGATCCCCCAGAGCAGCTGTAAAAGCCAGGCGGGCTGCAGTTCGCGTGCCAAAGGGATTAAACCTGTGCTGGGGTGTTGCACGTGCTGTAGTGGGGGGACTGGAGAAGGGCTGGGTCTTTCTCAGGGTGGCTTCCTACTTGTCAGGTACCCCTGCAAGCAGCGGGGTGATGAGATTAACCACCCTGGCTGCTGTCCAGGCCATCACACGCATCCTTGGTGTGCACACCATCCCTGCGTGTGTAAAGCCGCAGTGCCAGGGCAGCCTCATGCCGCAGGTGCGTTGGCCCAGGTATCCCCTGGCACCCTGACAGTGCAGCTTTTCTCTTTTTGGGCTTCAGGATGTGATCACGGATCAGGCAGAAGTTTTCAGCTCCATCTTGCTCCTGTTGTTGAACTGAGTTCTTAATAAAATTCAGCTGTTGGTGCTCCCTGGGGCAGTGGGATCCTGTGCCTCACCTTCTCCTGGGTGGCTGGGGAGACGTGGAGGACCCCACGTGGGTTGTGCCATGAAGTTTGTCCCGTCCATCACATGCTGCTTCTTCTGCTCCAGCGTGAGCCCCTGGCTGAGCAGCGGCACTCACAGATGGGCTGTGTGAGACCCGCACTATACCTCATCCCCCCAGAATCTTTATTATTAACGTGTGTCTGGAGAGAAGGTGGTTTGTGTCCACCAGGGCGTGGGGGAAGGACACGAGGTGCCCCGTGTGTCACCTGCCATGCCATGCGCAGGCAGCACAGGGGGAGGATGAAGCTGGCAGTGTGTTGGTCCTCAGCCTCACAAACTGTGTGGAGGGCGATCTCCCATACAGCCTCTGCAGGATGCTCCTGCCTTGGTCCCCCCTCTGTGCCCTCAGGACACCAAGCCAAGCCTGGCTCCATCCCTGGAAGGTCACTTGGATGCTGAGCCCTCCTCCTCTGTCAGCCAGGCACGTTTGCTCACTGGTGGCCGTGCAATGGGGATGCATTTCTGCTGAGCACCTCCATCCCCCTGTCCTTGAGCCAAGCTCCAAGTGGATCAGAGATCCCTGGAAGGTGTGGACAGAATCTGGGGTTAAACCATGGCACCAGCAGCCACATCCCCAGGAGGACAGTAGGACCTCCCATGGCCCAGGCAGCAGTGACAAGAGGACTGAGGGAATTTTTCTAGGAAAGACAGCTGGACACGGCTTGATCCTTGTTGAAGGGCCCAGCCAGAGGGAGGCAAGCCAAGCCGGTGGAACGCTAGCAGGCACAAGAGCAGGGTGGCCAGAGGTGTGCTGGTAGGGGAGGCCTCCTCCCAGCACTGGCAGTGATGCCAAGAAAGCCCTAACATGTTCTAGCAGAGCCTGCCCGCACATCTGCTAGTTTCTGGTGACCTCTAGAGGAAGCTGCTCCACTCCGGCATCACAAGTTTGGTGGGAGAGGAACGGGGTCTCACAAGACCTTTGGCTTAGCTGCAGCTGGAGCATCCTCCCCCCGCATCCCCGTCCTGGGCTCATGCCTCTGCCCAAAACCCCGTAGCAATTGCCAAAGTGCTGCAAAAGTGTCGTTATCACCCTCTAGCCGAGCTAAACTCGCTGATTGTTTTACACCTCCTGGTGCCAGGGGTTCCTCTGACTGCCCTCCCCTCCCCACTGCTGCCCTCAGGTTGAGCTGTCAGACGGGACATCGCACACCATCACGGATGCCTATGCTGGCAAGGAGTACATCATCCAAGTGGCGGCCAAAGACAACGACATCGGCACGTGGAGTGACTGGAGCGTGGCCGTCCATGCCACCCCTTGGACGGAGGAGCCCAAGCATCTCACCACGGAGGCACAGGTCACAGGTGAGAGCCCCCCCTCCCAGTACAAACAGGTTGTGCCATCAGTGGGTGGGAACCCAGGAGTCCTGGCTGAGGGTCTCCCCTGTCTGGCTCCATGCAAGTTTCATCCCCAGCCAAGGAGATCCTCCCAGCACCCGGGGTGGAGGCCTGCAGCCCTTCACCCTATACTTTGCCCCCGACTCATGGCCCTGGCAGCAGGGGCAGCCATGGTCTGAGGGGTGCTGACTCAGCTTGCCTGGCTCCAGCATCCTCCTCACCAGGATGCTTGCAGTGTGACAACAAAGCTAGATGATGATGATGATGATAATGATGATGATGATGATGATGATGATGATGATTACTTGGAGTGCTGCCCCCTCCAGCCCTCCCTCCAGTCCTATCCCCTCCACACCTCCGACCCCGCACAATGGCTCGGAGAGATGCCAATTCGAAATAAAAGCCACAAAGTTAACAAACCTCTGTTTCTAGGAAA